CCCCTCTCAGGGCCTGGCTCGGGGTTTGGGGCCACGGGTGCTGCTGTGCCCCCGGGAGGCAGGACCCGGCCTGGCGTGAGCCTGGGGTTCCAGAGGGTCCTGGGGACCTCGGGGGCATAGCCTCCTGCCTCGGGCGGAAGCCGTGCAGACCTTGAGCCCTCTTCCCGGGGTGGCCTCGGCTGGGGGGCCGGGGGGACACACAGCCTGCCAGGCGTCCCAGCCTCCTGGCCGCTCGGGGGACAGCGTCGGACAGCTGCATCCACACTCCCGAGTCCCCGCCCAGAGCACCTGCCCTGGGGCTGGCGGGTCCAGCTGAGGTGCGGACGGGTGGGTGACAGGCCGACGGGCAGAGCCGAGGCGAGGAGCCCCGCTCTCCGCCTCTGCAGGTGGAGATGTACGAGCGGCTCTTCCAGCGGCCCCCGGACCGGCACTCGGACTTCTCCCGCCTGGCGCGGGTGCTGACTGGAAACGCCATCGCCCTGGTGCTGGGAGGAGGCGGGGCAAGGTGAGTCCCGCCCTGTCCCAGGCACAGCTCCCAGCAGATGCTGCTGAGCTCAGAGCGGCACCTGGCGGGCCCAGGGCACGTGGCCCGGCCGGACCTCCACAGGCTGATTGCGGTCCCTCCAGAAGCTTCCATCTCCTGTGTCACCACGCGTGTGTTCTGAAGGCTGCTCTGTCCTTTGCCGGCCGTCCCCAGGCCCCCAGGTCTCTCCACCGTGGCCCCGCGTGTGGAGGTGCGGCCTGACACCTGAGCCGGCTGCCGGGCCAGGGAGGGTGCAAACCCTCTTCTCTAGGAAGTGATGCCCGTGGCCTCGGAGCTGCTCCTCTAACGGAACTCGCCACATTGGAGACTGCGGCTTGCAGGCCTCACAGACAGGGCAGTGGGTGGACGGGGGCCGCCCCTGTGCACCCTGTGCCCTTCACTGCCGAGTTCCTGCCTGGAGCCCCGCGAGGGCGGGGATGGAGCTGCTGGGAGGGGAGGGCCTGCCGTGGCCCCTGTGGCCTGGCGGGGGGGGGA